CCCTGGGACAGCTTGAGGCCCTTTCCTCTTGTCCCATCCCTTGTTCCTTGGGAGCAGAGACCAGCCCCCTCCTGGCTCCATCCTCCCGTCAGGCACTTGCAGAGAGTGATCAGGTCCCCCCTGAGCCTTCTCTTCTCCACACTAAACCCCCAGGTCCCTCAGCCCTTCCCCATCACACTTGTGCTCCAGGCCCTGCTCCAGCTCTGTTGGATGGGGGGAAATACCCCCCAGCACTTTCAGGAGAGCAGAAGGTTGCACTGAAGCCCCAGGTGTCCTGTTCTTTCCCATTCCTTTCGCTGCCCAAGTTCCCATCAGCAAATATCACTCACCAAAGTGGTCCAGCTCCTGAGAGCTGCTGAGCGGTGCCGGTCCCCTGCTGGTCCTTATGGAAGAGCTCTGCAGCTCGCGGATAAACCCCTCCAGTGCTGAACTTCTGGCCTTTCCTGCAGCACAACAAGGCTTCTGCTGCTCCCATTAGTACTTTGGAGAGGTACAAAATGAACCCATCCAGCTTCTTGGCTCAAAATCACGTCAAGCTGTGCTAAAAGCAGAGTTTATAAATCCACGGTTTGGGTCTGCAAAGGGAAAAGGCTTCTGGTAAGTTTTAAAATCCAAAGGTGGGATTTTTTTTCCCAGGAAAAAAGGAAACCACCTCTTCTGATAGGCAAGAGCAAACCAGACCTGGAAAACTCCCTGGCACAGAGAAGTTGGATGTTAACTGAGGCTGGAGACTCCCACCTAAAACTTGAGATGGGATTTCCCTGGATATGAAGGTAATTCCCTTGAAATGAAAAACATGAGATGGAATTTCCCTTGAAACACCATTTGCACCAACTTGGAGTGAAAAACACCGTTCGGGATGATCTTATGATGCTTTTGCCAGAGCCTTTTGCCCAGATGTGACACAACAGCACAACATAAAGGCAGGTGGGTCTTTTTTCCATTTCCCACAGCCTGGAATCTCCCCCGTGCGCAGTTTCCCAGAGCCAGCCAGCCCTAATTCCACACCCTGGAATCTCCCTGTGAGCCACCTCTAATGCTGGGCAGGCATCACCCTTCTGTGTGCAAATCCCTTGATTTTCCCAATGGGCAATGCTAAAGTGGGACAAAATCCATCCCTTCACACTTGGGGTCCGAAACAGGCTCCTCGCCCCTGGTGAACTAAGGTCCATCAACAGTGCCTAGACCTCTGCTGCAGCAGGGAGACTTCTGCCTCCTACATGGCATCTCTGGGGCTGAAGAGCACACGTGAATGAGGGTGTCACAACGCTGTGGCCTGGCTGGGACAGACCTGACCCAGAGCAGAAGTAACCCACGCTGCCTTAAATCCCTGCTGATGCTCTGGCAAAAGCAAGGGAAACGCAGTGACAAAACCCCAGGGCTAAAACCTCAAGTTACTCACTTGGGGAAGTTTGGGCCATTCAGTAATGCTGAGGCTTAATAAAATGTAGGAATTCGCAAGAGAAAAGATCACCTTTTGTTTCTGCTGGGTGACTGCAAGTGTGCAGCTGGAGAGGTGGGAAAAGGAGCTGCCAAACCAGAGCAGAGCAGAGAGCAGAAGTGTGAAACAGTTTGTTCAGACCAAAGCAGTTCATACCTGGGTGGTTTCCTCCTTGCTTGTACTTGAGCTGCTGTGAAATCCTCTCCTCCCTGCTTCCACAGGCACCGCCTGGCCAGGTCCCTGCAGAGCAAGGCAGGATCCTGCTCAGCCTCCCCCCTCCGTCAGCTCTGGAATTCGCTCCTGATTTATTCCGCAGTAGAGACACAGCTGGCAAAAGAAAGACACGAGAGAGCTGCTGGGGGACACGACTGTTCCTTCCTACCTGGCCAAAAGCTTTCCCAGGCAATTGTATTATTGGCCATGGATGAAGCAAAGAACCGCTAATGGAAACTAGATCGATTTCCGTATTTGCTGACTTGCAGCAGGGAGTTAAGAAAATCAGAGACAGTCCATAACCTGGATCAAGTAGGAGAAACAAGGTTTAGAGGTACAGGACAGAATGGCCCCGCTTCAGCCTTTGGGAGACTTTTCCACTCTCCATCTGTCCATCTTTGCCAGGTATGGGACAAATTCAGCTCAAGCCACAAGGTTTTACAGGGTTTTCCTGCATTCAAACCCTCCTTATGGGAAGGCACAAGCAGGTGGGAGCCATTTGCTTTTATTTAAGGAGAAAAAGGTGATCAGAGATGCCCAGTAAAGGAGTAAGAGGCAGCCAAAGAAAAGCAAAAGCCTTTTGTGTGCAATAAATGAGATGAAGGGAACAAGAGACAAGACATTTAATATAGAACAGAAGCCGCAGCAGAGAAACAAACATGTGGCACAAACCTTTCAAACTGCTGAGAAGTGGAGGTTTAATGAAAACCCCAATCAATAAACAGGCAAAAAGTGCTCCCTCGGCTTCACAGGAGCAGGTGAAGGTGGTAAAGTCGAACTGGCTTATTCCTAGTTAGAGGGGCCTTAAGATCAGGCTTAACTAACCTCAGCCCACCCCATCAGCAGCTGTTGGGTGGAATAAACCCAGATTCCAACTGGTTTCTGGTGCCTTTGGCTGGAGAACAAGACCCATCTCCAGCTCCTCCAGCACATTCTCACGTTGTCACCAAAACCACTGGAGATGGACATTCTGCAGGTGTCAGACGGGGCACAAGGAGAGCAACGCTCATTTATAACCCATTTTGGTGGCTGCAGAGGTGAACGAAGTCCCTGAATTCACATGTCCCTGCTCTCCTGCCCAGCCACAACCCCAGTATCAAAGGTAAAACCCCCTCAGGCTGTGCTTGGCTCTCTCCACCAGCCACTTGGCTGCAGCTCCATGCCCTTCTCTGAGGCAATTTCACAAATCCTACAGAAAACACCTCAATTTCCCTTCCCTCTTTCCTCGAGAGATTAATCCCAGGAAGCTCCCGCAGCATCCATAATCCATCCCCACTGCTTTGTATCACCTCCACAGCAATTAGGAGCCTCTTTTGCTGCTGACTGCTGCTTTTCATCCCATTACCATGTCGTGTAATCGTCTCCTTGTTGGGCTCGGGTTCTTTCTCCACTTGTTACTGCTGCTCTGGCACTTCAAACACAAATTAATCAAGGCGGGAGCTGCCTATTCATCATATTTCATGCTATGGTTTAGCACGAGGGGCAGGCAGCCTCTCCAAGAATGCAAATACATACTTAACACCCAAGGAAAAGCACTAAGCAACAGGCTAATTCATATAAAAGCTTTATTAAAAACGAGGACACAGCCCCCCAGGAAGAGGATTCTGCTCCATCTCCCCACCTTGTACAGTTTAATGGCCACAATTAAATACAAATAGCTACAAAAAGGCTTTGCACCTCGATAAAGGAAGGAAGAACTAATCCTCAACTCGCTGCTGTTTCAGATGTGGATGGAGAAAGTGGGTTTTTCCACGTCGGTTTGCACACACGTGGGCAGGCAGAGGCCCACCAAGGTGATGGGCTGCACCTGGTGGGTCCCATCCTAAAATCAGTATGGAACCTGATTTTACCACAAGTCTGTATTGCTTTAGTACAGAGAGAGGAAAGTGAACTGTTATGGCTTGGTATTGCATCAGATACGTTACACTGGGCAAGGAGTTGGTACTTCCAAGTCTTCAAAATTGCACAAAAATTAAGCTCATCCTATCACTAGTTTTATTTCGATGGTAAATAATAATAATAATTAATAATAACAAAAATCAGAGGTACTGTCACAGAAAAGTCCAGCCTCATTTAACCACCATCAACAGATGGGAAACTAACGGATAAATAGGGCCTTAGTTTATAAAAGCCTTGTCTTCTACTCGTACCCCAGAACTGCCTCCTGCCCAATCCAGGCCCCGTTTAACAGCGCTCGTACTTAGTGCATCAGCCACTGCATCAGCAGCAGCGCATCAAGTGTATTACACCTGCAACTCGGCTGCACACCGTTCAGCACGGAACACAGAAAGGGATGAAACAACACTTCAGATGTATCGATTTCTCAGCTTCCTCACAGATGTTCTCCGTGTCATGCTGTAAAAAAAGAATTCAAAGCAAAATAGCTCGACAAAACCTCCTGTGCTCGAGTCATCTGTACACGTTAGAATCGGAACAATACAAAAAGTATTCAGGTAGCAAAGGCAATATATAAAATGTCATATAAACAGTGTTGGAAAAGTACAAAACTAGGAAATAATGCATAGAGGAGAGTGTTTCACAGGCCCTGCAGCACTGGCTGCGTCCGCAAATCCTCGCAGTGAAGGAAGATCCCACGACCGGCCGCCTCACTGCCTGCAGAATTCACTGGTGATGTTGGGAAGGGGATAGGCAAAGAGGGAGAAATCCAGGATGTATTTCGGTAGGAGCTCCTTGATGAGCCGGCGCTGGGTGTTGCACAGGTAGTAATGGAGCGTTTCTGCTGTCACAGGCTTGTACCAGGGCTGCCGCTCGGGGAAGCGGATGAAGGAGGGCGACCGGACACGCTCCAGGACGTAGTTGGCGTCGGCGCTGAGCCGCTCGTAGGAGCCGATGC